CCATCATTTCGGCATATAATATACTATCAAGTTTCAGCATGCTGATATATTCACACAATTCCCTCCTACAAGTTCGACCATCACAAAAGAAGTCACGATGCTAATGGCAGTCCCATGTAGAGGCGAAAGCAACCCACTTCTTTGCAAGAACAATGCAAGTAAAATAGCCACTGCAATGAGGTTAGAGGTCGGCTCGACAGAGACAAGAAGAGATAAATTGGATAAAAGAACGACGTAAATGGGGAAACTTCAAACCAAATTCATCAGACCATCATCAACCCTGCCAACGAGTAGCAGAACTATGCGCTATTGCAAGATGAATAAATGGGCCTTAGTATTCTGCGATTTTCTTGACGCGTTTTATGGCGGCAGTTCGGTATTCGATGAGAGGCTACTAACACGATACAAAATGATAGGCCGCCATCTGGTCAACAAGTGGTTGGTATTTCGCCAATTGCATCTACAACTGTAGAATACTGGTGAGGAAATAACGCTAAACCAACTAATGGAGGAAAGTTCAGAAATGACCTACGACATCCTTGGCCTCTGAGGGACAAGACGGCGGAAGGAGATGAGTGACATCTGAAAAGACAGTAATTCGATTTGATCAGAAAGAGGAGAGGCCGCGATGACCATAGAAGGAATCAGATCTGCTTTCAGCAAAATTCGTCCTCAAAAATTGTCTCCTCTCATGTCAAGTCACCAAGACCAGGCATGCTATGCCTTCAAATGAACCATTCAGATTCTTCAATCCAAAAGTACGGCCGACGAGGACGAAGTAGAAGAATTCTATGAAGAACTGGAACAGCCACTGGCCCTAAAGTGTACGTATATCCTCGTCATTGGAGACTTCAATGCCAAAGTTAGACTCGGAAGAGACGGTGAAAACTTTGTCAGTAGATACGGAACCGGAGAACAAAATGAGTGACGAGATTGGGTGAGTGACCATGGCAAAAATGAAACACTTGTCCGCTAGCAACACCTGATTCAAGAAAATTAATAAGAGGTTGACATGGATCGCACCCAGCACTGCAATATGAATGAGACTGAATTCTACCAGCTCGACAAACACCGGTTCGCCCGAAACTTTGCAGTTGCGCCTTCATTTAACAGGCAGTGACCTCAGACTGGTGCGAGCCAGGCTAATGTTCGAGAAGATCGAAAGGAATGCAGTGCAGAGGCCAGTCGCAGACCCTAACCGAAATACCGGTGCTCAAGGCGCGCATTTCTAACGAAGACTGGACAGTGAAAAGCAACTGCGACAACGACTAAGAGAAGTTCGTCGAGAAAATGAGGAGCTGCATAAAATCGGCTACGGTAGTGACATCAAAGAGAGCAAAAGGAGCGATCTCAGAAGGGACAAAGAGGTTGCGAGAGAAGCAGAAAATGATGGAGAGAGGTGGAAGCGATATTGTGAAGTTCTCCGCAAGCTCATTAGGCAGAGATTGAAGGAGGACTTTGACACTTTCCAATTGCAAAAATTACAGAAAACTCCAAAAGACCGAAAAGCTTCAGGCAGTGCAGAAGAGAGTTTGCGCTTTATCAATCAACCATCACAGTGATGACAAAAAGGGAAGGTGGATTAACGTCTGACAGAACTGAGTTTCAGTCTATCTGCAAGAATTTTTACATCCATCTCGCTGAGTTAAAAACAGGTATAACTCCAACAGCCAGAAGGACTCCCGATCCACATAAGCGAAGTCCGAAAATGCCGCCCAGCAAATGAAGAAGGGAAAAACCTCCGGGAAAGATGGTCTGGCAAGTGAAATGATCAGAGGCAGTCATACGCTAGCGAAGAGGTTCAGTTGCTACAGGTGCTATCTAAAAACAGAAATCAAGCTGGAAGGAGTCAAAAACGGTCATGTGGTTCAGGGACGAAGGAAGGTCTAAAGAACTACTGTTCAATCTGTCTCCTCTCACCAGTCTACGCCATGTTCACTAATAGAGTGTCAACAAATCTGGATGAACAGCAGGCAAGAGAACAGGTAGGATTCTGAACGAGTTACTACACAACAGATAGCATCTCTACTTTAAGTCAACTCCTTGAGTGCGAGAGGGAATTCTAGCAATTTCTGTGCATCACCTTGGTCGATTACGAGAAAACGGTTGACGCTGTCGAATACAACTGTGTTCACTGCACTTGCAGACACGATCTCTTTCAAACTCTTCACTGTCTGTTTGGAAATATCCGAAGGATGAACTGGAAGGTGGGATTAACATCAACGGTTAACAATTCAATCACCCAAAGTTCTCTGATGACACGATATTGTTCACGGAAAATTTTACCTGCAGTATCAGACATTTACCTCCTAAAATATTTATTGCAGTAGATTACGGCTTTTACTAGGTTCATCGTAAGGTTCATTTCTACCTATATTTTATAATTTGATTTTTAGGGTCAATGAAAACTGTAGCCGGAAGGCGCACGCATTAAATATCATGGCCAATATCTCGCCCAATTTGGTTTAACCGTACCGAAACCCCTTTTTATCCCTACAATTGGCAAGTCAAAGATCTCAGACCCATTCTTCGGCTAGTTGAACCGAGGTACAGTGGAATGAATTCTTTGCTCAAAGGAATCAGCAGTTAATTAGAGAATATCCACAACACAGGAGGCTTGAACCCGGCATCTCTAAAGTGCAATGCAAGCTTCTAATCCAGTGGGTCATCACTCCCCACTCCATTTTTACCAGTTTCATTTTTAGACATTTCACAACAATTTTGAATAATGATCAGTTGGATCTATTTTTCAATAAACATAATTACAAGCTTTCAAATTAACTATCTTCCCTTCTTACATGTCTTCTGATGTTTCGGCCTTCAGAATTAAGTTACTTTTAATCATACCCAAACCGACGCAAAGGCAATATCGTCATCGTTCTTCATTTCTTAATTCGAAATTATCTCGTAGTATCAAAATCCTGTCCTGGATACGATAGTGACACTTGTAAACCTTGTTTAGGTATACGAACATGATCAGACGTGCACCCATTCAACTAATGGAAATTACTTGTGCTCGTTTAATTGTCATTTTATCCACAAGCCTGCCCTTCCTAAGGATGAAAGAATCGCTTGTGAGAATGCATGACCGAAGCGTTTCGAAGAGTAGTCATTCAGTCCATGAATGGATTCCTTTACAAATTCGTAAAAAATTGAAATGTACGATAAGGAAGCTAGATTTTAAACCAGCGGACATTGCACTTTTTCATTTAGCTACTTCATATGCAGCGATGCTGCATTGTCTGAGGAATGAAAAAGCATTTTTGCTTTAAAAAACTGAACCGCTTTCAATAGTATATGGATTCAAAGCAAACAGCTGTACAACACAATCTATTTTAATATGCGGAGGCATAAAGCAAGTCGATGCATTTAATTGACAGATCTATGTGCCTAATAACTCCAGCTAAAGTCCAATGTTATTATATAAGAGGCCACTTGGTTTAACGAAGAATGTCTGTCATTGAGCATGTCTCAAAGAATAATATAAAATTACGCCAGATGCCATTTGCGCTGAGTCATTACAGTCTCATTATACTGATAGGGCAGATGAAAAGATTATACCAAATTTTAGTTCTGGATTGATAAGACCATTACCCCCAAGCATTCCCTCTGGTTTTGCAGCTAGAGTACTTTAGTCATATTTAGTTTGCAGATATAGATGAATCTCAATCAATGACAGCATTATCCTGTTAAATTACTATCTGAAGGTTCGTGAAAGGTATTCATAGCTAGAGTCGCAATCACACCTCACCGTGGTATGAAATGCTACTCTAATCATTTTCCTCTTCATTCCATACTAAATGAGAGGTTGCATTTGTAAAATACAAATGCCTTACAAGGCAAAAATACATAGCAACTGAGTAATACGAAGGACTGAACTCAATACTTGACATATACAGAAGATAATCAA